CTGATTCAGCAGATAATGTCGTTTCCATGGGAACGGTAGACATTCTTGACTTTGATGTCATTTTCTCTCGGCAAGGCAAAGGTGTCTGAGGCCTGGAATCTGATTTGGAGAAAAGCAGGAGGCGAGAAAAGCATCATCGAGGATGGAAATTTCAGAGAGAGATAATGACATTAAGAATAACGGTGACCTTGAGAGTCTTTTCCTTTATTTCCCTTGCCGATGATATGATGCAACATCTCCCAAGGTGCGTCGGTCAAACCTCTCATGAAATAGACGACAAGCGACGATGAATATTTCCTTACCAATTCGATTTGCGGGGAGTGGAATAACAATGGAGAGTGCATGATAGGGGCATAATAGTATTACATATGACATGGTTGAATTTAAGCCCACTTTCTTTTGGCCTTTCAACAGAATGAAGGAAGTCTGAGAGATTGAGATGTGATATATAATTCTTATCTCTTTAGAGAGAAGATGCAGTTGTTTTTCTCAGCATTTGAAACATTTGCATCCACCCACATTCAAGATATATATCACTGGGAAGCTCACATATCTTTGTGAAAATGTATTTGTTATTTGTTTTGCATTTCAGTAGGGAATTTTTTTCCAAATATCAAGAATTGTCTTTGACGTCACATTCAGATAGAATGAATTTGTGTCATACATGATAAACGTATTGAGAATAACTCTATAATTAGTATGATACTGCATTCATTGTGTAACACAGGGTTTTAGAAGGTATAGATGCATTTATTTTCATCTGTTTTACATTGTCAACAAATGAAATTTCTTTCCAAAAACTAAGGATTTTACTCATACATCAAAAATTGATCACTGTCATAGAACAAAACCGTTTCCCAAGAATGCCTTCATAATTTGCATGGTGATACACAGGATTGTAGAGGAGATCGATGGTCATCACATGTCATCAATGTGATGAGAATAACAGGAACAACACTAGCAGCACATGAATGAACGATGAAATGAGGACCTGATGTTCAGGATATCTTCAAGTATTACTACAGACTTTTAGTGGGGAGGGAAGCTAGATAAATAAATATATAGGCCTATACTCATTTAATATACTATTAAAATTCCCAATCTTAAGCCTATTATCGTGAATTACGTGAAAATGTCTCAAGGATATATTCATGTTGAATATACTACACCAAGAATTGACAGTCAATTCATAACCAATGTTTCCTTATAGAGTAGATATAATTTAGAGTAGCACTGCTAATCTATTCAATTCAATTCAAATGTTCATTTATTTTCTTCCAAACAATACAATTTATAAGTAGGAACATGAATATAATTAAAGAACTTGTATTACAAGGAAGAAGGCGCGAAACCCGAAAGCATAGCTTGTAGTGGGTACGCTCAAATGCATAAACACAATTATACATTATAAATGGGAGAAAGGAAGAAAGGAAGAAAAGGATAGGCAAAGAGGAGAGGAGGATAGAGAGCTTGGAGAAAGAGAAAAGAAGAGGACTGCAACATGTTTGAAATCATCACTGAAACTAAAAAGAAATGTAGTATTAAGCTGATAGTAATGTAGATAAACATTTGACAAAACATGGACAGAAAGAAAGACTACACTGCGGTTAAATATAGCTACCTAACTACCTGAATACACCTGCGAGCTATACTTTCCGACAGCCTGTCATAACCATTATATCATCTCAAGAAAAACAGCAGCATGATATGAGCTAAGCAATTAGAGAGAGTACGTAGCTACACCTACCTTATCCGCTACAGGGCAGTGATAAAATGTCTTTATATCCAACCAATAGATATCAACAGAGGAAATGAAAGGCTAGTTGATAAGGACAAGGTTCACGCATCGTATTGAAGTCAAGTTCACAGGGCGTCGTGTGTCCGGGCTCTCAGCATATCACATGTCAACCGTCTCGCCCTCGGGGTTCGCGGGTGAAAGATGAGCGTCGTTGACGGCAACCGAGGCTTCATCCGACAAGTCTGCCGTTAAACGCTCTCGCCGGAGATGCGTGTGTGTCCAGGGGTCGCACACTGCCCGCTGTGATTCACGCTAGGTATCTGGGAGAGTGATGGTGTATATTGGCTTCAATTGTTGAAACTCAGCACACTATTAAGATGTGTGAAGACAGCAACATTTAGTGCTCAATGAAGTCTTCGCTTGGGATGATGATGCTTGTGTCATATTACAATCATGTTAGTCCGGATCACCACTAGCTCATAATTCAACAAAGTTTTTTTCAATGCTTGCTTTCATAGACATGGAAACATGCTAATACATACAAATTTATGTCAAGTAATCTATCTTAAGATTGTTATTATATCTGAAGATACACATCAGTTGTTTACTTTCTGCTACTAATCCAACTGACTAATTCCTTCTTTTGATTCTTTAATCTCTTCAGTGCCTCCAAAATATCATCTTTTGTCTATCGCATCTCTGTCAAGCAATTTCCTCGTTGGTTTCCACTTGGCTGAGAGACAGTCTTTGAAGAATGTTGCTATGGCAACCGCTCACACAAATCTATGCTGTCTTGGCAACAACAACAACAAATTCTCACACATGAAGTAATTGTCTTCCAGGCAGAAAAAGAATGTGAAAGTGCTTGAAGCTGTGCTTGTAGATTCTAGCTAAAGAGGTAACCATCTCCTACTTCTTCTCTCTATTTCCTTCCCTTCCTTTTTCTCAGGAAAAAAGTCGTCCCCATCCACGGCGATCGCTCTTCCCTCGCTACCCTCTCTGCCTTGCCAGTTCTGCCTGACAGGTTTACACTGTCTTCAAAGTATATATACTCTTAGTGCCCTCCAAACAAATCCTGATGCTGGTACGTGACTCTGCGTCACAGGGCATGATACTCATCGCCAATAATGCTCTCTATCAAGAATGCAAACGGTGGTGCTCGTAACTCCAGACGCGTTACCTCGCATTCTAATTGCAATCTTCCGTTCCCTCTGATATATACGATGCTATCACGCAACAACTTCTAGTTTCATTCCAGAGGACAATTTCCCTAAGAGCTTGGAGGATGCGTGTTGCCTTCACATAATCTGTCAAAAGAAAATTGGTAAAGAAAAAGTGAGGGCAGACTATATCACCAGTGTGCAACCATTACATCAAAATGACAAGAATTTGCTCCATTACACAGTTGCCAAGGAGATATTTGCAGTGAAAGTTAAATCTTTCTGCACTGCCGGTCTTGAGACATACAAGATTTGATTTCCTTGCTGGATGGTATTTAAAAGAAAATGCTATATATAACTTGAGACACTGCTCGAGACACTCAAAAGCACTGTAGAACACGTATGTATTCCCTGGGTCTGTCTCAAACATGCCAAGATCTGACATTTCTTTGTTCAATCACATATATTTTTCATCCTTCTATTCTCTAAAGATGAAATGGTGTGAAGGATTCGAAGAAGTGACGTCAAAGGAAATGTGTAAGCAGCAAGCCCATAATCCTCTTTGTCATTACGAGGAATTTCTTTATTATGAAAGCATTTTTTGTATTAAACTTTTTTTCTCTCTCAATTTTGAATTTATGGCCAAAAATATGAAATACATCAAGACATGAATTGGTGGCTAATAGAAATGAAGAAATGAATACAGGCTAAATGAGAAAACTTTTTACATAAATGAAGTAAATGGAACTTATGCATCCTTCTATGAGATTGAATATCTCTAAGGTTGTTTTTCCATTTTAAATTTACGGCACTCATTCATTTTTTTATGTCAATAATTTTAAGTTGTATAATAATAATAATACTCAGTTTTTATATAGCGCTTATTACAACCACTATAAAGTGCTTCCAAACTTGGAGATTCTTTTTTTTAAATAACATGATGGCTGCAAAAAAAATCATCAGATCAATTACAAGTGACCAGGTTAAGAATTAAGTCACTTATTGTGCTCATCATTATCATCATCATTATTATTATCATGATTTTCATTATCATCATCATCATCATCATCATCATCATCATCTTCATCTTCATCTTCATCTTCATCTTCATCTTCATCTTCATTATCATCATCATCATCATCATCTTCATCTTCATCTTCATCATCATCATCATCATCATCTTCATCTTCATCTTCATCATCATCATCATCATCATCATCATCCTCTTCATCATCATCATCATCATCATCATCTTCATCATTATTCTATTTAAAAGTTAATACTTTAGTAAATACATTTCTGATTTAAACATAGTCCCCTTTAGCAGAAGCTAATCAAAGTGAGGGAAAAATAAAGAGGAATGATACGTTGAATTTCCGCCCTCGATCCTTACTGGACAACCTTGGCTTAAAGCCATTAAGTATCATGCAAATCTTCTTTTCAGAGAAAGCTGTAAGTTTGATCTGCTTGGGGGTTGTAAATTTGTGATTATTTTGTTACATTTGAAAGGTCACTTTCTCTGAAGGGCATCTTTTTTCTAAAGACACTTCATCATAGAATGCCATGGCTGAGCGCCTGAATTTCTGCGAATTACTGTTTACATCATGATAGATTCTATTTTAAAATGATAAGCGCAATAAAGGTCTCATTGGCCAGATGTCTGTTTATTCCCATTTTAGTAATTAAGTTTTTTTTTTTGGTTTAGGAAAGGATCAATGTTGAGTTAAATGTATTTTTGTCCAGCCTCCAATTTCTTCTTCAAATCCAGTGTCATCCTCTCTCTTTTTCCATTTTGGGTTTTTTAAATATTTTTTTTCAAGTGAATCATTCTTTTATATTCTGTTGTTTGTAGTTCTTTGTTTGAGTTTTAAATTGTTATTGTTGTTTCTCTATGTCTTCCTCTCTACTGTTTATTAGTAACATTCCCCCTAGCTCTCATCCTCTCTCTCTCTCTCTCTCTCTCTCCGGCTCTCTTCCTCTCCCACTCCCCCTCCCTCCCTCTCCCTTCCTTAAATCCCCCTGCGCTTTCTCTCCCTCATTCTTTTCTCCCTCCCTCTCTTTTTGTCTCTCTCCCTCTCTTTTTCTTTCTCCCTCTCTTTTTCTTTCTCCCTCTTTTTTTTCTCTCCCCTACCCTTTCCCCCCCTCACTCTACCTTCTCACTGTGTATAAATGAAAAGCAATTTCAGTTCTATAAAAACTTTCACACAAACCTCCACCCATACATATGCCCAAACCTCCTTGCCCCACCCCCACTCTCTGAAAGAATGCTCCGAGAACTGGTTCAATAATGACAGGCCTTCAATCAGAGGATGATGCACACACAAGTACCCTAAGAAACAAACACACTTTTTGAGTAGCTCCGACCCATATTCTCAGGGCATGGGCCACGACGCCACGAGAACTCCGTTAAAGAGATCCGGTAACTTTGTCTCAGATTCTGAAAAAAATCCTGGATTTAGCTCATGCTGCAATGATAATTATAAACCTTTAGGTCAGTCAGGAACCCCATGACTTTTACAAGCCGATCGCCTGTCTTAATATCAAGATATTTATGATTGGAAATCGAAACTAAATTTTGTGTTTGCCCAACGGTTTTCATAACACTACAGTCTATTGTGGAAAATGAGTATGGTAAAACCGTTCACTCAAAGATTTTTACTTTTTAAGGCATTTCTTGATCATTTTGAAGTGCAATTCTTTTAGGGCTTCAATATTATACCATATTGCAGAAACTGATAACACGTAGGGCCGTGCATCTCAGATTTAACATTGTTAAACAAAGCCTTTAAGAGAGAACGAGATGGGGAACGAGAGAATAAGATGGAGAAAGAGGGAATGAGATGGGGAAAGAGGGAACGAAGTGCGGAATGAGGGAACGTGTCAAACAGAGGAAAGCTCTTGGGGAACATATCACAAGTGCTTAGGTTTGGAAGGAAGATCCGCTAATGAGCGTGTCTATTTCTGTGATGCAGCAGTCATACCTGCACTCTAAATAACGGTAAAGGTGAGTTGTTAGAACAGTCAAACCTACTATAGTGACCCCCTGTATAGAAAGACGACCTGTCTACAAAGACCACATGTTTTGTTTCCCTTGAAAATGGTTTCTCATTGAAACATGTACTAAAGGAACCTGTATATAAAGACAACCTGCCCATATATGTATGAAGACCACTATTGTTGTCTCCCTTGGGTGGTCATTATAGACAGGTTTCACCCTCTTGCAAGCCTTCATATGGAATATATTTAATATGATTATTGGGGTTATTTTATGTCTTACAACTGAACTTTCTTCAATGATGAGTCCCCCTTATATGACCTTGTTAGACCTGTAACAGAATGCTACTACATAATCCACGTTTGATCAAGATGTGTAGCTTTGTCCATTAAACATGGCCGACTGAGCCCATCACATTTGTCTTTCTCAAACTCACAAGAAAGGAGAGATAATCAACATCCTCACTTTCAAGTGATAGCGTGTGGCTAATCCTATCGGAAAACAAATCATTTCCAGAGTGTGAATGCCATCCTCATCAGAATAAATGTATAAGTGCTTATCTCCATGATAAATGGGTGTGGAGACATCACAGAGCTCATTTCTTGACACTCTTTTCATTTCAGAGGGAGAGAGAGAGAGGGAGAGAGAGAGAGAGAGAGAGAGAGAGCAAGAGAGAGAGAGAGAGAGAGTGAGAGAGAGAAAGAGAGCAAGAAAGAGAGAGAGAGAGAGAGATATTATGAATCAAATGCTGAATTCTTTTTTTCCCCAGAATATTCCAATGGATGATTAATCAATATAAAACGAGTCGTTCTTTTTCATGTGTATTTGCATTGTTGATAAATTTGGTGACAAGTTGCACAGTGTATGTTACAGTCTCTGAAAGCGCTAAAAACACTATAAATAGTGTCCATTTTCTTTTTTTGCTGGGTGTAGATAAAAAAAACTGATGTAAATGTTTTTTTAACTTTAAAGCCGACTATATAGCTTCCAAGCTTTCATAAAAATATGGCAATATTCTAATGGTTGAAAAAGGGTACTTTTTACTCCTCCCATGAATATAATAAAGGGGAAGATACAGTTTTTAAAAAATCAAAAAATTAATAAATCAGTATTTGTATGAAAACTTAAAAATTGTGCCCTTTTTTATAGTACAAGCACCATCAAGTTCTGCTACTGACATTCAAGGAAAGGTAGGGGATACATGTGTGACTGCACTCTGCTAAATTGGGGTATCATGGGAGATAAAGATAGATTAGAGATGGAGATCCATAGAAGATCATCCCTATATTCAGCTCCATCTTACATACTCCAGTCAGTCAGTCAGAGAGTCTGTGTTGATACCTCACCATGCATGCAGGTGAACTGAGAACATGGAATAATGTGTTACTCCTTTTCTATGCTAAAATTTATGTCTTCCATATAATGTAAACCTCTAATAATGTGTCCGTATTTCTGTCTGTCTGTGTCTCTGTCTGTCTGTCTGTCTGTCTGTCTGTGTGTGTGCGTGTCTCTCTCTCTCTCTCTCTCTCTCTCTCTTTTAATCTTTCCTGACCATTTCTCTTGGTATATAAATGTTGATGTCAACTTTTTGATTCTGTACCTCACTACCTATCTTCCCCTCCTCTCAAGTTCATGTCCTGTCTTTATTAAAACCATTTTCTCTAACTGTGCCACTCCTCTCTTTCTCTCTCTCTCTGTTTCTCTCTCTCTCTATAAACGCTTTCTCAGTCTTTCTCTTTGTAACTAACCCCTCTCCTTCTCTCCTCTCTCTCTCTCTCTCTCTCTCTCTCTCTCTCTCTCTCTCTCTCTCTCTCTCTCGCTCTCACTGTCACTCTAACATTATACCGACCCTGTCCAAATTCATGGTAAGAAGATAACTGACAAAAACATGGGTATAGATGTCTTAAGACAACATAACAGTTCCGCATGACTAAGCATGGTATCCTGAACATGCATACATGTATGTCTATATGAGATATGAACTCACCACCAGAAAATTTCTTGATCCACCTACCTATATCTCCCTGCTATCTCTCTCTTTCTCTCTCTGTCTCTCTCTCTCTCTCTCTCTCTCTCTCTCTCTCTCTCTCTCTCTCTCTCTCTCAATCTAACATTATTCCAACCAATATCAAACTGCATGATAAGTAGATTA